ATGATCCAATCCGAAATCAAAGATCATTGAAACTGATATATAGACAATTATTTGATTTTTGGTTTCAATTTTGCATTAAATGAGAGAAAAAATCAAAAGTAAATCATAAGAATTCTAGAAAATGGTGTTGCAGTTTGGTACTAACTTGGTAAGTTGCAACATTTTCTTTAAAGAAAACAGTTTATTAGTGACAACTATTTTTTTTTACTTTAAAGACGTTTAAATCCACAAATATTTGTCATGAATTTGATAAAAGATTAACTGAAGTTTCATTTTCTTTATTATAAGTTTAGTATTGTTACATAAGTTTTTCTATGATTACATCTAATTTGTTTTTTTCAACTGTTTTTCAGATGGGACTAAACTATTTCTTTGGAAAATTGTTAAAGCCATCATTCTTCGTGCTATGTTGCACTAAGAATCAAGTAGTTCTTCTTTGTTGTTTGTGTTTGGTTATGTCCATAATGTTGTATGAATTTTTCAACTGTTTTTAATGTAGATGTGTGTTGGGCAATCGCGATGATAGTCTAAATAGAAATTGCTTTGAAGTTAAAACACCGTTTAAAAGTCATCGTAAAAGGTCACAAAGTAAATCATCGTTACACACAACGGAGCTGATCTTGATCTTGATATATTTGAGGCGGAGCTAGAGAATCTCCTTAAGTTTTGCACTGTTGTTGCTCAGATCATCATGGATCTGAGTTTTACCAAATATAAAGAAAATGTAACATTGATTTGTATTTTTTTGTTTTAAATTTCAATCTAATTTTTTAAAGTTTCAATCTAAATTTGATTTTTCACATAGCATTTATAATCCGTCGGATAAAGAAATAGAAGATTCAGAAGGACACATGATGTTGTTGATCGGAGTAGGTATTGATGAGGATGAAACACCCTTTTGGGAGTTTCAAGACTCATTTGGAGAAGAAGAGGATTTGTTAAAGTTATATGATACCATGGCGTGTTGACAAACGACATTGAGATTAGCGTAAATTCTCTGTTTTTTTTAAACAGAGCGTAAATTCTATATTCTAAAATAAGTTTTTTTTTCTTAATTATGTTATGTTTTATATTTTGATGTGTTTTTTTATTTGACAATTTCCCCCGCTTCCTTGAGAAAGCATTCATCATCATCCGCGAAAGAATTAGAAATTCATGTTTAGTAAAAAAAGAAGATGGGTTGGTGAAGATGGAAGAACTGATATGCTAGTATTTTTATTTTCTTTGGAAAGACTAATCTATCTTCTTCTTTTTTGTTTTATCGATTTGCAGTTTTTTTCTAGACACTATTATGAAGTTTAAATTTATTCAGTTTTATTTTTTAAAGGTCAGCAATGCCTCATTTCCATTACACTGACCAGTAAAATTCAAACTCAAGTATGTGTTGATGTTTTGAATGTAAGCAAATCTAAAGTAATTTTCGC